AACAGTACGATCTTCAAATCATACATCGTTCTGGTAAACTGCATAACTATGCACATACCTTGTCCAGGTGGCACTGTCTAGTTCAACGCAACTATTTTTGTGTTTATTTCAGTTTTGTTTTTGTTTTAAAACACAAACTCTGTTTATTTCACTGTTTATTTCAGTTTTGTTTTTGTTTTAAAACACAAACTCAACAGTCCATTTAGTGGAAAACCGGCATTAGACTTGATCAGCATGAAAGAGTTCTTGTTAGATGCCTTCGATTTGAAACGGATCAGGAACGGAGTTCCGATGAGCAGCAATGAGAGAAAGATATTGACATCAAACCATTTCCGAGCTGACAATCGCGGGGAGAAGAACCACGCAAGCGTGAGGGTAGACTTGGATGGATAGGGAGGCATTCTAAAAAACATTCATCTGACAGGCCTATGTCGATAGTGGGGATGATGAATATGATTATGAGTGTACCGAAATATACCTATGGATTTAAAGTAGATTATTTCAAACCACATGGAAGATGGAGAATGATTATGCCGGTTTTCCACTAAACGGACTATGGAGTTTGTGTTTTGTCTACAAAAACAAAACTGAAACAAACACAAAACTCTTGTTTCCATCAAGCGGACTACGTTTTGTTTTCTCGAGCAGGACCCAAAAAACAAAACTCCAACTGTCGCAAAACACGCTAGTTTTGAAAATGTTCGGGAAAAGTTCTACTTTGGGTTTTGTTTTTGTTTTGTCCGTTTGGTGGAAAACCGGCATTATGGATCTAAGGGGAAATATAGACGTAAAGCAGAAGGTCTTGGAAATTATTTAATTTAGGACCTGAGTGCGAATATTTAGGAGTTCGTGTGATTTAACTAAACAAGCATTTCAGGATTCAGTCCATTAGTTCAATTAAAGCTGTTCTTGTTACTAAAGAGAGTTTTAGCAGATTCACAGAGTACGTAACTATATCTTCCTTTCTCTTTCCAAAGTAAACCATTAACAACAAACAAGCAAAATCGATAGTTGTTTCTTCCACAGATTTAATAGAATTTTGTTTGATGAAAAATAATTGCCCACAGTCCGGCTGTTATTACCCCAGATCGTCAGTTTGGTATGCCTTCCACGTGTCACCCTTCATTATTTTACTCCTAGGAAATACATTATGATGTATTTTTTTGATATATTTGGACGAAGTTATTGCAGGAAGCGGATACTTGTAGAACAATTTTCCAAGCTGAAACACTTGCCGAGTAATGTAAAATACGGAGATAAAATCGCATTATGATCCGTTCTAAGGAGATATAAAAAATGTATATGTATTATTCTGTTCCTGTAGCTGTTGGTGGTTCCAAGGCCGACGATTAAGTCCTTATATGGACTAGCACGTTGTAAAAAGCGCGATTATTATCTTTGTTGGCATTTAGGTACTTGGTGTACATTATGATTGTTGGATAGGTAATGAAATTTCGTTTTGAGGTTGGGCTGATGTCGGATGGTTGTGACGTCGGTGGACCATTTGAACAATAGAATCAACCAAATTTACGTTACGAAATTACATTCACAGCTCATCTTATAGATTCTGATTCAGTGGAGAGCTGCGTAAAATTTTTGCTTAATGTCCCAATTCATTCACAACTTTTCCCGGATCTATCGTTAAAAATATTGAGATTGGATGGGTAGGTGAGACTACGATTTTTAGCAATAAACGTACTGTTGCAAAAAAGTAAATCTCAAATGTTTATGAGAGGATACGTATTTCTAATAACTGAGTGCAAAAATGTTGTCGCACATAAGTACACAAGAAGAAACAAAAAAAAAAGGAAAAGAAGACGCGAATAAAATGAATGAAAAACCATAAAATAGTAGCAAACTAAACATTAGGAACTAGATAAATTCAATATTGTCCATAAGTAAGGCAAATTTGAAAACATCATGAAATGAATATCCACAAATAAAACTTTCAAATCTTCACTTAACTTTAAACATTTATTGTGCAAATCTATTTCCATAAAACTAACTGCACTAGCTGCTAGAGAACTAAGAAATAGTCGTACAAGATCATTAATCATTTTTTGCTGAAATTAATAAGATATAAATGTGAATATGCCTTATAGACACGGAGAGAGCATGCAATAAACTATAATATTTAACACCGGGAGTCGATAATTAAGACATTGATCTCAAATACGAGCATCTGTGCATCTGGTTTCCGCAAAAGGTTATTGATTTGGCATAAATCTAGCCGGCTACTGATCAGATCAGTTATAACTAACTGGTTTCTTCATTTTTATGAGCCGCGAAATTGCACATTATTCATTTTATTATCGTTTTTGCAATTTATATTCTTTCAGAAAAAGGAAATGTAGAAAGGATAATAAGTTAGGTATTTGATATTTTTTATGCGATAATTTTAAGGCCCGGTTGATTCATCTTCAGATAAACTTGCTGGTAACTATCTGCAAGATAAATTTACCGTTCTATAATTTTATTGGTCGACGGATAACTGGCCACCAATAGGATTACATATTGCGTTTTTATCTGTCAGATTGCATACCTGACAGTTCACCAGAAGGTGAATAAACCGGCACTAAGTGAAATAATAAACGTGATTGTCTTCATGTACGATAGACAATTAATTATCTTGATAAAGAGATGGCAAATCCTCGAGAATTTATTTTGAGAGAATTTTCTCGGAGAATATTCCGGAACATTGGAGAATTTCAAAGAATATTGACAATTTTTTCAAGAAACAAAAGATTTTTATCCAGGAAAGACAATATATATTTCAAAGAAATAAAATATGACCGAAGTGTCTATTAAAATGATAATGAACACAAATAAAGTTTATATGTTTTCACTCAGTACTCAGTACCCAGTGGCACCAGTGCCAGTGCGCATTAAATCTAATTTACCAATCGAAAATGCCTATAGAATCGGGGGATTTACCGGATTTACCCGGACTCGTTTTCCGTTTTCCATTTCAACCTAACCTCACTACGAACCGAGTGCCATCTGTTCATAGTAAGGACAAGGTGATACATTTAAAAATTACAGGTAAATTACCATAAATTCTCGAAAATTACCACATATTCTCATGAATCTCGAGAATTTAAGGCCAAAGAATATTATTGGTAAGTTCTCTGTTCTCAATAGAAGTTCTTTGGAGAATATTCTCAAGGCCATCTCTACTGATAAGAAGGAGAGCCAAGGAAAAAAGTTTATTTCTTAACATAACTAAAAAAAAAAATCCTGCAAAATTCCCAAAAATCCTTTGGAGTCCCCAAAAATTTGTCTAAGAATCCTTTAGAATCTCTAAAAACTTTTCAAAAACCCCTGAAACGCTTCAAAATCAATCAAATCAATAAAGATTTAAAATATGCGAGAAAATATGTGTACACATTTTATGGAGTTAACTGAACATCGGAGCGGCTAATTGGTCAAAATCTGTGTACAAGTTGGTCAAAATCCCAAAAAAACTCGTAAGATCTACTTAAAATCCCTGAAAATCCTAAAAAATCTAAAAAAATCTCACAAAATTATATTAGAACAGAACAAAAAAAATCCAGTAAAATCTTATAAAATCATTAATATTTCAAAAAAAATTCCTTTGAAATTCCCAAAAATCCTTTGGCATCCCCAAAAATCTTTGAAATCTCTAAGAATTCTATGGCATCTCGAAAAACCCTTCTACATTCCCTAAAATGCTCCAAAATCACCTAAAATCTTATAAATCTAAAATCTTTTAAAATCCTGTGAAGATTTTCAAATTCCTAAAAATCCTACAAAATCAATGAAGATTTGAAATCTGTGTACATATTGTACGGAGTTAACAACCCCTCGCAAACTACAGAATAAAAATAAGATGTCGGGAGCAACTAAACCTAGTAAGTGGAGCTTTAAATGAAACCGTGCTTGGACCTTGTTGGGTCTAATTACAGATAAGCTACTATTATGAGTCTACTATTACCCATAACAGTGAGCTATTATGTTGATAAAAAGGGAATAAACGCCTATTATAGCTGGCAGACTCCTAACCTATTGAGAGCAAGGTCATTCATAAGTAATTGGTTCTAAAGCACCAATCTGATAAAGAAATGCGTGTTCTGCTGGTTAATAGCTTGGTCTTTTAAGTGCCCAGGAGCGATTAATGACGATAAAATGATAGGAAATAATAATTATGGTTATAGGTAACAAATTTCATGTGACTTATTGAGCAAGACTTAAATCCATAAATGGACATTTTAATTTTATAGTGAAGGTCTCTTCCTGGTCAAAATCACCTTGTGTTTTTATAAATGGATACGCGTCTTCAATGCTGCTGAATCTTAGCAGCAGCATCCGCGAAGAAAAAAAGTATCAGAGTTAATTTACGAATAGTCCGCCCTTCACGATTAATGATAAATTTCAAGGCTCTTTTTGGACACGCTCTTTACCTTACTTAGTTGAAGAATATCCTATTGCGTTTAGCATCTGGCTATTTACGAGTTTACATAAGGAAGAAATGAAAATATACAACCGCTTAGATTTATACATTGTCCATATCAATTAATTTTAAGTGAATCTGTTTGAGGAATTATGGATAACATCGGAAATCAAGTTATTTTTAATTTTCACAGGGCATTTTACTAAGACATTTTTTTATTGTTGATGAAAAACGGCGGCTTTGGTGAAAGACAAAAATGATAGAAACGCCAGCACAGGTCGTACATAGGTACAGGAAACAAGGAAATAAGTCATAAAGCATCTATTTAAAAAAATTATTTCGTTTTTTCTCAACAAAATAATAGAAGAAGATCCCTTTATCATTTGTAGGTAGCCCTAGGAACAAGGAAAGCACTTCACATTGTATCTAGGAAATAACACAGACGATTTGTCTGGTTTTATGGCAGAGAATACATAATGTTATAGCGGTAAAAGGTCCTAAAGAGGCTATTGTAATGCGCGTTTGTTAAAATAACCATGCCACGTTACCGAGCTGAAAATATTAATGTAATCAAAAAATAGATACTTACATAAGGTCTGGTCTGAAATAATGTATAATGGCACAAAACGCTAGTCCATCCCTCCACGATGTGGTCATGTTTTCCACTTTGACACCAGGGTAGCCTTGGGTCATTTTCCGGCACCATAGTTCCAAACCTTTCGTACCTTTTCGTTCACCCATACTTAATCTGAAAAAATAAAACATAGTCAAACTACCTAGTATAAAAACTCTTATGTAAACTGCAACAGGCTAATTGAATTTCTTGGCTAATCTCGGGTAAGTACACAGAATGTATACATAAGAGAAGGCCGAATCTGGTGACCTCCTTTAAAGATGCATCTTAAAAGATTCATCAGGTATGCAGTCGTTATGGTAATCGTGGTGATGATGGTGATGCACCTACCCAACCCGCCCGCGTGATGTTAGATCTTAGAAAGTAAAAACAGCTGACTGCTTGAGGTCGTTCGGTCGTTTTGATATTTTATGGTGTTTTTCTAACCATCATCGTTACGGCTTTTGCGCAATTAGAGGATTGATTAAAAAACATTTATGTTTCTGATGCTGGAGCTACTTATCATACACAGATTATCTGATGCAAAATGGTATATCCGAGAATATTTCTGCAATAAAATTACAGAAGATACCTACATATGAATCATCTTAGATCTGTGTATACATAATACATTTATGTAGGTACCGAAGTAGGTACTTACCTACTGGGAATTGGTGATACGTGTAATTTAAGAGTTACTCAAAATAGTCATTTGTGCTGTGACAAAATTTTGTTTGAGGGTATCAGATCATTCAATTGAGTAAAGTACTGAGACCCTCAACAAGTTTTGAAATTTGTTTAAGAGTCTCCCACAATGTCAAAGCAAAGTGGACCAAAAATGTATTTTCAACTTCTAAATGCTTGAACTTAGTATTTTTTAATCCAAAACAATATCACATATAACTACTTGTAGTCCTTGGCCTCTATTTCAATTAACATTTTACAATACCAACAATGGTTATATATGAATAAACATAGAAAGAACAGGCAATGTGCAGCTGCAAAGAAAACTTTGCGACATCGACACTAATAAAATATACCAAAATCAATATTTGCAATTTGAAATTCAACAAAGGCCTGATATTGCCATATTAAAAATTAATCTGATCAACAGGTGTGTTTAAGATAAAAAACAGATGTCTTAGCTCAAGTTACCTATATACAGCAGAGAGTGTTTTCTAATTGTCAATGTCAATACTTGAGGAGGCGATTATTGGGTTCAGAAGAAAACTTCATATGAACGTACCTATGTCCTAAACGTCTTAACTTTTGAGATACAGGGTGATAAAAGTTTCAAAAATAAATCATTTATTATCAATATCTGTTACACCACTTTAGATATTTTAATGAAATTTGGCATGTATCAAGAGGCATTTTTGTAGTACCTACCACATTTTTTAAAATTTTTTGCCAGTGGCATTCGTACGGAATATGACCTGACTATTTTGGCCTACATTGATGGTACGCCAGTGATTTCTCTTAAAATAAGTGAATAATATACTTGAAATCCCCAATCATTGTTAAAAAAATTTAATCTATTTCTCTGCGTGGTGAGTCATATAAATTAACCATTTAGGCGAAAACTGTGCCTCGGATTGTAAAAAATCGAGTGATCAAGTATGCTTGGAAATGATTGAAAATTTCAAGAATATTTTTTATTTTAAGAGAAATCAGTGGCGTACCATCAACGTCTGCCAAAGTAGGCAAGTCAAATTCTGTACAAACGCCACTGGTGAAAATTAAAAAAATGTGGTACATTAAAAAATGCCTCTTGATACATAGTACATGTATGCCAAATTTCATTAAAATATCTGAAGTAGTGCTACAGTGAACGTGTTAATAATAAATGAATTATTTTTGAAATCTCTCAACCTGTATCTCAAAAGTTAAGACGTTTAGGACATACGTTCATATGAAGTTTTTTTCCTAACATGAACCCCTTGAATATTGTCATTCAATTAGAAAACACCCTGTATAATCTCGGGCCCTTGTCAAAGTTTACAGAATCTAAAATCAAATTCTGCCAAGTGTGCCCTAGGAGGAAAGGTAAATTATAATAATTTATCTGAGCCTTTTTTTTTCTTTTAAATAAAAATTCTGAATCATACAAAATATAGTTACTCATCGAGCTTTTGAAGTTGTCTTTCTTAGATGTTTATTATGGTAGCAGTTAGCAATGTTTTTTCACACCTACTGCATTGTACAATAATCAATTAATTATTAATTACGATTGAAAATACTGAACAATAATGTTCCAGTAATTCCTGATCGTCCTTGTCATTCTATTATTAGAAAACACCATTGCCAATACGACTAATTACCGACTGAAAATTATTAATTTAGTTAATTTATCTCAGAATCTAATTGTGAGTCGTGCCTTAGGTTAGCCTCAATGGAAATATAGATAACTACGACTTGAAAAAAATCTGTGAGGCACGCAAATCGTGGTATTATTAATTCTCTTCAATGTTGCAAGGAGGTATAATAGTTCTCCGTACCCATACACAGATATATAAATAAATATAAAGATGATGCAAGGCGCTGAAATTTATTGTTTAGCAGAAAACTATTGAATCTTCCCCAACCAATTATGGCTTCTTAATTTTTTTAAACCACACCAAAACATTATTATGGTGATAGCTTATTTGTATGTATTTTATTTTTATATTCATTAGAATCGATGTTAAACTCTGTGGGTTAATCCCAATGATATTGCCACTAGCACTAGTGTGGACAGAAGTAAGATGAACAAGCATAATAGATTAAAGAAAATCGTATTTTGAATTATTATGCAATGATAGATGATGGTATCACCCTAGGCTCAAAGCTTAGGTATATAGGGACCTATATCAACAAGGTTGCTGATGCTGAGAAACCGAAAGGGGCGATTATGTTGTAGGGTAGGGGAGCTCCAGCTTGTGCCTCTTCGTCTGTTCTTAGAACGGTATACCTACTCCTCAGTGTCTCATTCACACAATGTCCTATGAGTTTTTGCTTCTCTTGAGGTTCCCTCCTTACATATACCTACTAGAGAATCTACTTTTCGCAAAGAGACGTAGAAACTATCAGCAGTATGAAAATATTCACCGCCCAAATATTAGAATTATAAATAAGCTTGTGTACCTACTGGGGCGTCAGGTTTCAAGACGTCCTGGGTTATTGGGCAATTAAATCGATTCCCCAAATGTCTAAAAGAATTGCACCCAGTGATGTAAAATGACGGTCATTTAAAATCGTGACGGTCATTTGCGTCATGACGTGTCATGACGGTCATGACCATGGTCATAGTTCATAGTAATTATTTCAATTTAAAACGCTACTTCCTACAGTCTATCGTCTATTAACTCAAAGATAGGTTAAAAATAGGGATAGTCAATTTTAGCGCCGAATTTATAGTCGGTCCTTGAGGTTTCCTCAGAACCTTAAGAAGCCTTGAACGTTTAGAATTGACTTGTCAAATAGTAGCAAGCTCAGAGGAATAGCAAGTATCCATTCTAAACTCGCGACTCCAAGGAAGATTCAAGGAACGACTATAAATAAGCTCGGTCCTTAATGATTATAACGTTTTGACAAATTATTAAGGATTTCAGAACAGAATAAATTTCTACAAATTACAAAATAGGTAGGTAAATAAGTCTAGCATTCCTAGCCTAGCAGGTAAAATAAAATAACAAAGATAATAGTTATTCACATGACAAATGCAGAAGTAATACTTCATCGTAAAACGTCGGTAAATGCATTTCCGTACTTATGTGTTAGCTACAAAATTATACCTATGAACAATGAGCATCTATATCTCCCAAAGAAGGCATTATTGAAATTTCTGAACGAGAAGGGATTTTTGAGTGTACTTAAACACCAAATCTACTTTACCGCATACTACGCAGTCTACTTTACTGCACATTTCCACACTAAGCAGTAAAATGGTCATGACCAACGGTCACATTGAATGTGACGTGACGGTCATGACCGTCATGACCCGCCGTCATGCGCGCTGGTCATGACACACTAACATCACTGATTGCACCATCCATCCAAACCTTCTGATAATGATCAACAAGGTATGACTGTGTCAGTTTTATACTGTTGTTACTAAAATTATAGGGTATTAATTTATCTAACACGAGAGTTTGGGACACAGTCATATAAATATAAAAATGTATGTTTGTTTGCCTGGACTATAATCTTCCATTAATTAATGAATAATAATGCATTAATAGAGATGACTAATTGATGATTAGCGTTACTTATCATTTATTGTATTGCACGTTCAATAATTATTATTAAACATTTGGTTAATATAAATGTGTCATGTGCATCGTTTGGATTTGTTCATCGCATGGAGTATTAGGAATTATATTTAAATACATTTAAATATTCTAAAAGCTGATGAAAGTTAGCTCTATGACTACTTCATTAGTTTTCAGGTTAGAGTCCGCGTCAGCAGTAAAGACTACGGTGACGACATAAAAAGCTGCGCGAAGCGGGTCGGATCTCTCTCCCTCGTCTATCGCTCGCTGTCTGCCGTGACCTCGGCCGTGAGCTGAAACCAGCAGCGGGGTATCTTTTTAGACAAAGCTTGGATACAAAATAAACTAAATAAATATGCCTGCTGGCCGTACGACAATGAACCACGTGCTTGGCGTTCGGCAGCAGCACCGATCGATACGATAGTTCGGTTAGTCTTCAAAATTGGGTTTGTGCGCATATCACGACACCGTACTTTTTACTTTTGACGCGGACTCTACCCCTAAACAAATTTGAAATATAGAAGTTTCCATGAAATATATAATAGGTACCTGATTTATCCGTGAGCAGTGCCCTGAAGGACTAACAAAAGCCCTATGAGCGATGATAAATTTTCTACAGTAATAAAGTTAAATTTTATTGTTAGGATGAAAAAGTTAATTAATAGAGGATTAATCGGTGTCATGACTTTGCAATATCTATTAACTATTAAGGTAGGAAATGAGTTGAATGGGACAAAATTAGACGTTCACTTCAAACTTTGATAAAGACTGATAATCAATAAAAGAGAAAGGATTACTGAGTTAATTTGAAAAATTAAGTCTAAGAAGTGGAAGATTCTATCAAATTATAGTATCTTTTCGCGTTCATTTAAACGCTTCATCAGG